GGCGGCAACCCTCAAACCCGATGGTGGACACCGTCGGTGAGGGATGCTGTCAGGCTGAAGAAGGAGTCCTATCGGGCCTTTTTGGCCTGTGGGACCCCGGAAGCAGCTGATGGGTACCGGCAGTCCAAGCGACATGCGGCTCGGGTGGTTGCTGAGGCAAAAACTCGGGCATGGGAGGAGTTCGGAGAGGCCATGGAGAACGACTTCCGCACGGCTTCGAGACGATTCTGGTCCACCATCCGGCATCTCAGGGGGGGAAAGAGGTACGCCACCAACACTGTTTATAGTGGGAGTGGTGTGCTGCTGACCTCAACTCGGGATGTTGTGGGTCGGTGGGCGGAATACTTTGAAGACCTCCTCAATCCCACCGGCACGTCTTCCACTGAGGAAGCGGAGCCTGAGGACTCTGGGTCGGGCCCTCCAATCTCTGGTGCTGAGGTCACCGAGGTGGTTAAAAAGCTCCTCGATGGCAGGGCCCCAGGGGTGGATGAGATTCGCCCGGAGTTCCTTAAGGCTCTGGATGTTGTAGGGTTGTGTTGGCTTACGCGACTCTGCAATATTGCGTGGACATCGGGGGAAGTTCCCCTGGATTGGCAGACCGGGGTGGTGGTCCCCCTATTCAAAAAGGGGGACCGAAGCGTGTGTTCCAACTACAGGGGAATCACGCTCTTAAGCCTCCCTGGTAAGGTCTATTCGGGGGTTCTGGAGAGGAGGGTTCGTCGGATAGTCGAACCTCGGATTCAGGAGGAACAGTGCGGTTTTCGTCCTGGCCGTGGAACACTGGACCAGCTCTACACTCTCAGCAGGGTCTTGGAGGGTGTGTGGGAGTTTGCCCAACCAGTCTACATGTGCTTTGTGGACTTGAAGAAGGCGTTCGACCGCGTCCCTCGGGGGGCCCTGTGGGGGGTACTCTGGGAGTATGGGGTACCGGGCCCTTTGATACGGGCTGTTAGGTCCCTGTATGACCGGTGTCAGAGCCTGGTCCGCATCGCCGGCAGTAAGTCGGGCTTGTTCCCGGTGAGAGTTGGACTCCGCCAAGGTTGCCCTTTGTCACCGATTCTGTTCATAACTTTTATGGACAGAATTTCTAGGCGCAGCCAAGGTGTTGAGGGGATCCGTTTTGGTGGCCTTAGAATTGCATCTCTGCTTTTTGCAGATGATGTGGTCTTATTGGCTTCATCAGATCGTGACAGCTTTCGCTGGAGCGGTTCGCAGCCGAATGCGATGCGGCCGGGATGAAGATCAGTTCCTCAAAATCCGAGGCCATGGTCTTGAGCCGGAAAAGGGTAGAGTGCCCTCTCCGGGTCAGGGAGGAGGTCCTACCCCAAGTGGAGGAGTTCAAGTATCTTGGGGTCTTGTTCATGAATGAGGGAAAAATGGAGCGTGAGATCGATAGGCGGATAGGTGCAGCGTCTGCAGTGAAGCGGGCACTGTACAGGTCTGTCGTGGTGAAGAGAGAGCTGAGTCAAAAGGCGAAGCTCTCAATTTACCGATCGATCTACGTTCCCACCCTCATCTATGGTCACGAGCTTTGGGTTGTGACCGAAAGAATGAGATCTCGGATACAAGCGGCCGAAATGAGTTTTCTCCGCAGGGTGTCTGGGCTCTCCCTTAGAGACAGGGTGAGAAGCTTGATCATCCGGGAGGGACTCGGAGTAGAGCCGCTGCTTCTCCACGTCGAGAGGAGCCAGTTGAGGTGGCTTGGACATCTGTTTAGGATGCCTTCTGGACGCCTCCCTGGTGAGGTGTTCTGGACATGTCCCACCGGAAGGAGGCCCAGAGGAAGACCCAGGACACGCTGGAGGGACTATGTTTCTCGGCTGGCCTGGGAACGCCTTGGGATTCCCCCGGAAGAGCTGGCCCAAGTGGCTGGGGAGAGGGAAGTCTGGGCCTCCCTACTTAGGCTGCTACCCCCGCGACCCGACCCCGGATAAGCGGAAGAAAATGGATGGATGGATGGAAGAGATGTAAAAGACTCCTAGATAAATGAACTTGTCACTTGAGCCTCATTCCTGACTTAAAATGAGCATGACACCTTTCACTGATTCAATAGTCCCTCTGGGTTATTTAATAACCTATCAATATTATCGTTTAGAACTTAAAGTTCAGGTTAAGCTTTTGATTCTGCCATGTGTACAGCAGTGATGTGTGGTGAGGTTTGTGGCAGGTGAGGCTGACTCGTCTGGAATCGGATGCTCACATATACATATGCAACGTGTTCATAAATGTGCTGCTGACAGAGTTTTTTGATGTCTTAAATCGTGTCCTGTTAGGACAAGGTGTGAAGAGATCCTTTTTGAATGCCACTACCCCTCTCCTCATGGTTTTGTCCCTTTTTCTATCTAAAAAAATATTCTGAAAATAATAAGAAGGCCGCTATATATAGCAGCAGCTTTGTGCACTCCGTCCACCTTTCGAACGAATGTATGGACATGTTTTTTTGTTTTTTAAAGGCATCTAATCATGCTTTACTCAACTCCATAATACTCTCTTTTTAAATAAATACATTTCAAAAAATGGATTATCTTACCTTTATTTTAAGATGAATGAGTTTGGGACAATTATGATGAGTTTAGAAAAATCCTTTAGTTTTGAGATATGATCTATTTTGTCTAAACAAATTTAAATGACTGTACCTATTTGCTACACACCACTGCCCCTCTGTGTAACAGAAGAACGCACAGACTGCACCTGCTTTACTGTCCCTATGGGGCAGCACTGCCCCCTATCGGTGTGGCAAGGTATATTCTGCCGCACCCTGTGAATTTTCAGCGTGTATTTCGAACAATTAGAAAGCAGAAAGATGTCTCACACATTCATTAAATATATTACACAGACTGTAGAACATCAGCATGTATGGCACATGTGTAATCAAACATGTATATTGGCAATATAAAGAGAGACAGCAATGGGCATGCACCAACCACCTACTTCAAAATATTGTATGACACAGTGCCCCCAGAGGTGAACCAGAGCACTACACAGCCTCACCCAGCGCATTTCTTCCATGCTTTTTGAACAGGCAAAATGTAAATCCGCAAATTTTTAGTGTTGAAATAAGTGTTGAAATAATTAATGAAACAGTTTTATAGAACAGTTTTATAGAACAGTCAAGTGGTTAAATGTATTTTGTCTTATCATTGTCAGTATTTTACTTGTCATGACGACAGGCGAGGCTCTGCCTCATTTGCCTCCGTTGACTGCACGTCACTGGTGTGCAGCAAGTATTAAAAATAGACCAAGTGCAAGCATTCAGGTAGTTAATGAAAGTTAATTTTTTTTCATCAGAATTGATGTAAACATGTCTACACAGTATGTCTGTGGGTGTTTACCTGGCATAGCCAGTGAATAGTCTCCAGTTTCTGTAATGGAGTCAAACAGCTGATACTGAGAAGCTTTCCTGAGCTGTTGCAAGAAAAGGACCAATCCGACCAGGTTCAGCTTTGTAGCAGCTTCTTCAAACAACCTGAAACACATAATATACACATTGAAAAAATATAATTATGACATTAACATGTATGATACAAAAACTGATATATGTATTACAACCCTAAATAATAAAATCACGATGACTGTAACACTCTTAGCTGAAAAGTTTATAATTTAGCTGAGAGCTGATAAAAAAATACAGCTCGTTACTGTCATTTGATTCTTTTCTATAAGCACAAAAACGATTAAAATATTTTTACATTCAAAACTAAAACAGTTTTAAAGTATGCCAACCTTTCTTTTTTAATGTGCAAAAATAAAATTATGTAAAAACTTACCATACTCATTCACATAAATCATTTGTGTATATAGGAATATGGGTTAAAATATATAATGTTTCATTAGTAATCAGCCTCATTAAATAACCCTACGAGTCTGTGCATTGGATTAAATCAAACTTTTATAAATAAAACACAACACCCTGTGATGAGTTTTACACTATTTTCTGTAATGTTTATTTACATAAAAGAGTATAGTAAAAATGATATTCTACGAACAATGAGACTTATAATACTGAAAAGAGAAACATAACATTATGGACAGGATAGTAACTTTGAGGTAAAATAATTTTTTGATTTATTATGTCTTTAAAAGGGGGGCGAGTTAACGGAAACTGGCTAAGAAATTAAACAATTAATCTAAATAATTCTAAAGTGAACTGCCCTTATAATTATTATTATTATGATGCAACCACAGCCACCAGCGAGCAGATGAAAACTTCAGTACTACCGGGAGTTGAAACGGTCAGTTCCTACGATATATGCAAGGCAGATCCATTGGCTGGATCTGGGGGTCATCTTGGAAGATGCGTCTCCCAAGATGACTGGGCGACTTCTGACTCTTTTTACCTCTACTACATCATTTGCCAACTCCTCCTTCAGGACCACCCCTACTCCATTTCTCTTTCTGTCCACACCATGGTAAAACAGTTTGAAGCTGCTCCAATGCTGCGAGTCTTGCTGCCCTTCCACTTGGTCTCTTGGACACATAAAACATCTACCTTCTTTCTCAGCATCATGTCAGCCAGCTCTCTACCGTTGCCTGTTATTGTTCCCACATTTAGAGTTGAAACCCTCAGTCCTACATTCTTCACTTTCCTCTTCTCCCTCTGTCTCATGACACGTTTCCCTCCTCGTGGTCTTGGACTAACAGTAGCACAATTTCCGCCGGCATCTTGTTTGTCAACAGCACCGGTGTTCGTTGTTAACCTGGGCCTCGACTGATCCAGCATGGTGTTGCTTAGATGAACTTGCATGTTAGTTTTGACTAAAGTGTTTTATCTTGGATGCCCTATGTGACAACTCTCACCATTTACTCGTGCTTATATAATGTAAGTAAGGCCCCCAGTCGGGATATAAAGATGTTGCACCATAAAGAAAACAATGATTGGTTAAACATTCACCATGATCATTACTGCAGGAAATAGATATTTTACAATAAAGCAGAGCTAAAATATTTGCTTCTCATTCAGGAAATATTTTTGTGAAATGTATTTGTGCCTGGACTCCGCCCTACCTGTCAGCCTGTGTGGACAGGGTGCACACAGCCTTGGCAGCACTGGCCTCTGTCATTAGACTGCTGCTTTTCAGGTCCAAACCTCGCCCCATCCTGCTGCTCCCCCTCAGCAGCTCCTGGATGGACAGGGGTTGGATGACCGGCTGGCTCAGGCAGAGTTCTGCAGCATCCGTGCTGGGCTCGCAGTTCAGTTCTGGGCCTTGGTCGATGCTGGCCACCTGCTGGTTCTGCTGGGTGATTGTGGTCAGGGAGGACTGCTGCGTGGAGCCATTGCTGAAGTGGGTGTGCTCCAGAGAGCTGATGTACTCGGTCACCCTAACATATTTGCAGAATGAACCACATCTGAGAGTTTTTACAACTTCATGACAAAGCCACATTAAGTACTTTGGGGTGTGCATGTGTGTGTGTACCTAAAGACATGTGGCCAGCAGTCCTGGTTATGGCTGCCCATCTCTAACCCCACATTAAGGATGGCGTCCATACACAAGACATGAGCTGTGTGGAGACAAACTCCCTGAGGACAGCTGATCTGCTCCAGGCGCTGCTCAACGTGCTTCTTCACTGCAAACAACACAGAGGATTGGCTCTACATATAAAAACACTATAAACACCCACCGTTTGTTGAAGGAATGCTCATCATCAACCACTTTTCACACCATCGTTTAGATTGAAATTATTTTATGTTGAGTGTGTTGCACGTCTCTGCTACAACCACACAAATGGAAATGTAGGTCAATATCTGTATAAGAGACTGAATTACACTGAATATTTTGCTTTATGTGATCAGCTAGCTGTGGTAGCCATCTTGAAATAGGTTTGTTCTGAAAATAGGAATCCAATAAAAGTGTTAAAATGATCAATTCAAATGTAATGTTTTTAAAGTTTATCAAAATATTTTACTCTAGCTTTAGCTGTATTTTATTATGAAATATATTTATATGTATATATGTTCACATAGGCATCACAACCATTATATGTGAAGGGGACAAGTCCCCCCCACATTCCAAAAACGTTCATTTGGCCCCCCCCCCCCCCCCCCCCCCCGACACACACACACACACACACACACACACTTTTACTATGAAACATTAGTTCAGACGGCAGTTTCTCTTTCTTCCTGAATAAAGCCATTCCACTTGATTAATAGGAGAAAACTCAAACCAATAAAACTCCACTCCAAGTTTTCCTGGTTACTTCCAACTCTAAACACAGCAGCCTGTTGCCACCATCACAATATACGGTGGTCACAGAATATGGTGTAACACCTGCAGTGTTTCTGTGCTCTCCTTCTGCTTCGGCAGAAAATGCGCACAGGTGGAGGAGATTGTGACACCTCATTTACTCGCTCGCCAGTTTAGCAAGCTTAGTGCGAGCAGTTGCTGACTGGGGGGGGGGGGGGGGGTGCTGATCATAAACATATATTCATGTTAGGAGGATGCTTGAGAGGAGTGCTATGTCTGTAGCATGTTAGCTTAGCAGTAACTGTGACGCTGTCAGACGCTGCAGGTGTAAGAGACGCTGTGTGTTCAGGTGCATTAAAGTTGAAACATCTTTAAAAGCCCACACCTTATTGTCCTCAAGCTTCATGAGAAACATCATTTAGATGAGGTGTTGAACACAAGTAAAAAAGTCCAGTGGTGATGTTTTTTATTTCTCTAAAAACACAAATTGTGCCGACCTGACGCTCTGTATTAAAGTGTATTAAAGTTAAAATTACTTTAAACCCACAGCTGAATTTACACAAACTTGGTGAGAAACATGCTTTAAATGTGTGGAATTAAAGGAAATCTAGGTGAAATGCTGCTTTTTGTTCACTAGTGAACACCTTTTTTTTTTTTTACGCGCGCACATGCACGCGCACACACACACCTACACACATCATTGTGTCCCCCCCACATTACAGATGCTTCTGACACCCTTGAATGTTAATTTTTATTAATTTTTTTGTAACCAATTTATTAAATTTAACTCAAGCACCTAATTCCATTTTAGCCTAATTGACAAACTACATTGACAGATGTTTTTTTTTAATCTGTAAACGTGTTATAGATATCGGTTTCTTGCATTTTTTTTAAGTTTGTGGTTTTTCAAACTGCCTTGATCTGTTTCACTATTAACCTGCATTTACTGCAAATACTCTGACCAATTAAAAAAAAATAATAATAAAAAAAAAAAAAAATAAA